AGGGTTAGGTTAGGTAGAAAGGAAGAACAGCCAGGCTCCGGACTGGACACCAACGCGGACAAACAATCTCTCTCTCTCTCTCCCCCCCAACGCGGTATCGGGGTGGACGCTAGACAGATGATGACGGCACGCACGAGCGACACACAGACACAAACAGGCTCACAAGACACACAGCCAGCTGGCTGCCACACACCCTGAGTTGGGCGTACACATAACTCAAGGCCACATCCTCCCTGTCGCCCCCCCTAGAATTCTAGAAATGCTCGGTGTGAATCTTGGTTTCACGAATTCCCCATTAAACTCAGACGTGAGTGGCGTTTGACACGGTGTTGAACACCACTTAAGCAGTCTTGAGTGTGAGTGAGTACACACACACACACACACACACACACACACACACACACACACACACACACACACACACACACACACACACACACACACACACCAGACACACACACATTAAGCAGTCTTCTGTCGCCTGTGTGTGAGTGAGACACACACACACACACACACACACATTCAAAAAAAGACTTTTTGAGCAGGTGTGACGCCGCGCGAGCGACGCTCCGAGATCGCCCGAGATAGCGCGGCGCGGCCCCGAGATCGCCCGAGATAGCGCGAGATCGCCCGAGATCGCGCGGCGCGGCCCGGGGCGGGGTGGATGGGTTGGGAGCGGGGGGGCACAAGTGATCAGTGCGGTAGATCGGTCAGCTCGAGGCGCGTGAGCCGGACTTGGGAGCCGGACCACCCCCTCTTGTTATCTGCGTTGTTGAGCCAGGACTCAACATACTCGGGCTGTCGCCGTCCCAAACTGTCACTCCCCTTTCTCCCGGCCGGGGTGGGGCGCGCGCGGGGGCGGCGGGTGTGCGGCGAGTGTGCGGGATGTCTGTGGGCCCGAGAGCGATATGCCATGTCCGCCTTGCGTTGTTTCATAACACCGAAAGGCAAAACAAAACAACGACAGGCTCAATTCGGAATCTTCCCGCAAATGGCAGTCGGTTTGCTCGGTCTTCTTCTCGCGAGTGGCCTGGCCCCGCAGTCTCCGCCGTCGCGGATACGAGACCGCCGCGCGCCGGCGCCGCTGGCGTGCACGCCCATCAAGTCGGACGACAAGTACGACTACTATCGGCGCAGCAGAGAGGTGAGCGTCTCGCTCGCCAAGCCGCTCGGGACGGCTCTGGAGGAGGTGAGCGGCGGCGGTGTCAAGGTGGTCGAGCTGGTGGAGGGAGGCTCGGCGATGGAGACGGGCCTCGTCAAGGTTGGCGACCGCCTGCGCAGCGTGTGCGGCACGGACGTGTCCGGGTCCGACTTTGATTCGGTGCGAGCCCGGTGTCGGCGGGAAGAGGAGGAGGGCGGGTCCGGCAGCTGAGCGGCCCCTCGGCTCGCTCGCAGGTGATGGGTCTGCTCGGGGACGCGCCCGCCGAGGTCGAGCTGCAGCTGCTGCGCAATGTCATCGTGCGCGAGGAGAAGGTAATCCCCTTTCTCGAGATTGAGGGCGGCAACTCGGGGCCCGCGGAGCGCGGCGCCGTGCTGCGCAGCGCGGTGCTCGCCTCGCAGTCGGAGCTGTACCGCGGCATGGCCAAGGTGACCAACTGCGGCGGCGCGGGCCAGTGCCTGTCCTGCCAGGTCGAGGTGCTCGAGGGGATGGAAAACCTCTCCCCCTTCACCGACGCCGAGAAGAGGATG